GTTTGTCTAAATGATGGTGGTAAAATGCATGCCAGATTCAATCCCCGGTTCCAAAAAAAAAAAAAAAAAAAAAAGGAAAAGAAGCAGCAGTCTGAGCTCAGCAGGACAGGTTTATTTCAGAAGACACTGACAGGGACCAGTCTGGCAGTAGAGATCAGACCAGGTAACTCATTCAGGCTACAAGGTCTTTATAGGATCATGAACATAAAAAGGGAAGGAGGCCTATGGAAGAAAAAAGTCACAATGGGACTTTCTGGAGGAAGAGTTCGGGACAAAGGACTTGTGGCTATCTGCCCAGGACCAGGCTTGAGGTGGTACAGGGAACTAGGTGGTGTTTGTCAAGGGCAGGTCTGAACAATGGTTGGAAATCACCAGGTGGAGATGTGCTTGCGGCATCTTATGACCCATGATGACACCTCTGCAGCCGGCATAAAAGCACAGCAGGGGGAAGGGACAGCATGTGGTCTCTGCTTGGGCCAGGATGACTGTGGTCAGGCTCCTCCAAGTGCCCCAGAAAATGAACTCCCTCTGCTGAGCTTCTCCTTCAGCTGCCTTCTTGGCTCCAGCTGTCTTTACTTCATCTGTTTCTGAGCATCTGCACCAGCCAGCACTCGTCTGCACTCCTGCACTGCTGCCTTCAGTTAACCATGAGGCAATAGCCATTTTTGTTTGACTTTTTTTACCTCCTGAGAAAAAGAGTTATAGTTTCTGTATTCTGCGTGTGGATATCCAATTTTCCCAATATCACTTACTGAAAAGACTATTCTTTCTCTAGTGTGTGATCTTAGTATTTTTGTTAAAAATCATATGCATGGGTTTACTTCTAGGCTGTTCAGTCTGTGTATATGTTTACATGAGTACAATATTTTTTTATGACTATAGCTTTGTAATATCAATGTTCAAGTTAGACCAAAGCTTACTGCTTTGGGTCACTTTTTGATTTTGTTTTTGTTTTGTTTTGTTTTTGTTTTTGTGTGTGTTTTGTTTTGTTTTGTTTCTCTCAAGATGGATATGGCTATTCTAGGCCTTATTTTGTTTTGCTTTGTTTTCATGATTTGTACCTATTTTTAAAATTATTTATTTGTTTATCTACTTATTTATTTGGTACAGGGCCTTGCTATGCAGCTTGGACTCTTAGTGATCCTCTTGTCTCAGCCTCCCCAGCACTGGAATTACAGGTGTGCACCACCACCACACCCAGCTTGTGGTACCAAGGATTGAACCTGGGTCCTTGCACTTGCCAGGCAAGTGAGTAGATCACCGAGCTATCTCCCTAGCCCATTTATACCAAATTTTAAGATTGTCTTTTCAGTTCTGTGAAGAATGCCATTGGTGTTTTGATAAGCATTACATTGCATGTGCAGATTGCTTTGGCCAGCATAGACATTTTACCAATATTTTTTTCTTCTAATCCATTGACACAGCATGTCTTCCTCTTCAACTTTCTTTTATCAGTGTTGTCAATTTTTTTTTATTAGAAGGTTGCCATCAGTATGCAGTTCATCACTTAAGCCCCTGGGTTAGAAAGTGGCTTTAACTAGGTGAATCTAGTTTTAATTATTCACAGTTGGATAAAAGTACTAAGTAAATGAACTGACAAGTAGCTACCTCCTCCTCAGAGCTGAGTAAGAGCAAAACCTGAGGCCTGAAAGAGCTCAATAACAAAAACAGGCTTGACAAAGCCCAGCACTCCTGTATGAATCTTTCCATGGTGCAATCACTAAATCAGCTCCCCGTCTTTTTTGTTTTGAAGTCCTGTCTCCAGACATCATGCTCAGTTTGGATTTTGTTTTAGCCTCTCAGAATCTGGAGTCAGTCTTACTCAAATTGAGAGTAGTAACAATGAAAACTCTCAGAGTTTTGGGGGAGGAAATAAAAGAATCTATTATTACCATTAATGTTTGCCTCTAAGTGGAGTACACATAGACATTAAAGCTGAAACTGAGAATTTCTGACTGCAAAGATAAGATTGATTTTTGTCTGCCAAAACAGATGTCAGCACTTCCTTTCGACTTGATAAGATTACTATAAACACCAATTTAGGTAGAACTATGCAACAATATACCATAGACTCTTAGAATGAGACCGTTCTCACACAGTAGTCCCAAGCCATCTCAAATACCCGTCTTGTTCTTTGAAGACAAGAGTCCACTCTTCCCTGGAAGCTGGCTTGACAGTCAGTTTATCATGACTGTCTGAGACGATCACCCGAGGTGCAAGCACTCTGTGGGTGAAGCCTAGGCCCGAGTTTTCCCAGTCTGGGCTGTGGTTGGGAGCCCCAATGTCAGGCAGCAGTATAGAGGTCACACACCCTTGAGTCCTCCCCATTCTCAGGCTTCTTCACATATCATTAAGCAGCTACAGCCACAAGCACCCCACCCTTTGACTCCATATTAACCTCCTAGAATAGGCAGTGTCCTTACTTTCCTTTGCTTGCCGCTGGTCATTTCTCTGTGACTCACACCCTAGGCTTCTCTCTCCACCTCTTTTTACTCCACAAAAGTAATCTTTTCTCTCTTCATTTTACAAAGCATGACAAATGCTGGGGAATTCTTACCTTGAAAAGAAAATCTTCAAACTAGAAATTTGATCTCATTGTTCCTTAAACCCATCTTTGCAAGTCCTTCCACATAGGCTTTCCTGTTGACCACATCCCTCTGTAGCTCCTGACTTAGAGCCATTCTAATCCATGGGGGTTCCCATTGACCTGCCCTTGACCAGACTGCCAGATCAGCTGTCAATGAGCTGTCTGCAAAAGAAGCAAAGATACTTACCACCTTCTCCCAGAGATACTCCCTGTTCACAAGAAGAGAGCTCGTGCATCTTTAGGCAGAAGCCATGTAGCTCCTCCTTCTTCCAAAACATTTCCTCCTATGATAGGATTCATGTAAATTTCCTCCGAAACTGAAAGGTCATCTTCCCCAAAGATGAATTCTGCACTACATCTAGAATGACAGGTTCTAATTCTAAACAGCTTGATTGTTGAACCTACTAGAAGTACGAATCAGTTGGCCACACTAGGCAGCGCAAGGAAAATGACAATTTTCCAAGTAGCAGAGTTAGGGCCAGCTAGTCAAGCTGTATGAGGTGATCCTAAGCAAAGAAACCTGGATGTGTTATATTACCAAAGACTCAGGCACTAGCAAGTGGTTGAGGCAGGCAGTAGATCCCAAAAGCAAGGCAGAAGACTATGAACCATATTTATGCAATGATGCTCAGGACAGTTCAGGAACAAAGCTAAGTTTGGGAGTGTGGGGGAGTGTTTTTTTAAAAAAAATCTATCCATACATCCAGGATTATTACCTTAAGATATATTTTTAGAAGTGGAATATTTAAAGAGTGTGAATATTTTTGTAATTTTGACACATGGCATCTAAACACCAAAAGCAACCCTAAATTTGCATAAATGTCATAAATTTGCCTTTCTGATGCTTGTAAACAGCTCATATGACCATGACTGCTAATTCCTGGCCCTGTTTAATTCTTCATCTACTGGTCATTGCAAAAGCTTACTTCAGAGGAAGCTGAAGTGAGGTTAGCTCAGAGGCATAAAAATTGTAGGAAATTTCTGAGTTAGAAGAAAGTGAAAGAGAAAGGGCAGAGGCAGAGGAAAGGCTATAAAGGCAGTAGTCTGCTGGCAAGTCACTCTTGCAATTCACTCCTGAGCTAAACTTCCTCTTTAGGACAACATGAGGCTCAAGGTACTGTGAAATTTTAAGTGACTTACACTGCTTTTCTAGCTTAATTCTTCCTTTCTCAATCCTGTGAGTTGCCTTCTCCTTTCAAGAGCTGCCTGCTGTTTTTCCAAAATAGCATTTTAACTTTTCTTATAGCCTGTGGACTACCTAATCAAATCCATCTTGTTTCACAAGATGTTCTACAAATCAGAGCATGATTCTGTTATATTAGGAAGAAAGTGAATCATTGTGCATAAATTAATTTTTGTACATGTCCTCCATGACACTGACAGAGTCTATTTCTAATTACCTGTTTGCTGCCACCATCTCCTGTTGTCCCTTGATAAGATTTTGAGGCAGAAGGCATCCTGTATTGGTTTGTGATTCTACAGAGCTTAGCACAATAAGTGCATCGGAATTTGTAAAATTTATTTACTAAATGATGTCATATTGTTTCCATTTATATATTATTTGAATTATAGTATTTTACTAAATGGAAATGCAAATGTGATAAGAAAGTCAAGCAAAACATAGAGACCTTTTAAGCACAGAGGAGTGGAATCTGGGCAGCTGGACAGTTGCGTGCTTATTTCCCTCATGTTTCCTTCCATTCGGGTCTAGAGACAGAGGCCTGGCATTCAGGACTTGCCAGGGAATCCCTTCCCCCATCATAGATCACAAGTGCAGCCTTGTGTAAATGGATGACCCAGTGACTAGCCGGGCTCCATGTTGACATCCCCCACCTGTTCCCTAGGCAAAGGCCAGTCCCTGTAAGGCACTATATGTCAGACCTAAACCTGAGAGGATGACTCATTAGGCACTAAATATCCTCAACCATGGAAATTATTAGAGTGGGAAGACAGGTAAAAAGAAACTGTCTTAGAACCAAGGAAGCCTTAAATTTTACTTAGCAAATCAAAAAAAAGGTCTCTCTCTCTCTCTCTCTCTCTCTCTCTCTCTCTCTCTCTCTCTCTCTCTCTCCCATTCCTCCCTCCCTCCCCCCTCACATTATTGCTGTTTTCGGCCCCAAGCCAAATTATTCTTATTCCTTCTAGCACCTTTTCCATCTTCCACTGTCTTCTCTCCTGCTTTCTCTCATCTCAAGTTCCCCTCTCTTTCTATCAAAATTTCAGAGACATAAGAAGTTAGCCATCCTTTTGTAAATGTGAGCATTCCCTGACTTGATAAATCTAGAGATTCTAAGAATGGTGGTCAGAGTAAAGGACCTCTGGCAGGACCCTGGCTCCATCTCTGCACCTCTCCTGGTCCAGAGCTCTGCCTGAGAGATTTCCCAATCAGCCCCTCACCCCTCAGTTAGCATTGGGAGGTGAGGGCTCTCGCCTGGTCTGAGAGACAAAGGAAGTTGCTCAGCGATGTGACCATTATAACAGCAGGGAAAAGAAACAGCTTAACATTTTACTCAGAGCTACTAACGGTATATTAAAAATAATTCCATCCTCATGGTCCTAAGGTCGTGGCTCAAACTTTATTCAGGTTATTTGACAGTACTTAATAGCTATGAATAAAGTCACTGAATTAGAAGAAAAAGAGAATAGAAAACTTTACATATATCTGGGGAAGCATTCTGCCCCTGGAAACAGTAACAAGTTTCCACAGAAAAAATAAAACTTGCTGCCAATGAAGATGACAGTGATAGCAGTGATGACAATAATGATGATAAAGAAACTGAAGAAAAACTCTAGAAAAAAAAAAAAGAGCAGAATGAAAAGATTCAAGATCTTCCAGGTGGAGAGCAAAAGGTCAAGAATTCTTGGAAAACGAGATGAAAACTTGTGAAACAAAGGAGTCTCATTTTGTAAGAAATATTAAAGCAAAAAAAAAAAAAAACAACAACAACAACACAGAAGCCAAGTTTATCAGTGCTGTGGTTTACGTCTAGATGTCTCCTGAAAACCTCACATACTCGCCTTTGGTGAGCTGGTTGGGTCATGGGGCACTACGCTTATTGGTGGACTGGTCCTCTGACGCATGTGTAACTCAGTGCACTTTTAGGAGGCGGAGCTGGATTGAAGAGGCAGCTCCCTCCAGGCTTAGCCTGGAAGGGTCTGTCTCCTTCTCTGGCTCCTTCCTTGGAGTTCTGCTTCCTGGCCACCAAGAAATTCACAGCTCTCCTGTGCCAGACCCTTGCACCATGGCTTCCTGCCTTAAAGCCAGCCAGCGATTGACTAAAACTGTGAGTCAAAGTAAACTTCTCCTCCTTTAAATTGTGGGTGTCTATTGAGTATTGTGTCTCAGTGGCAAAAAGTGACGAAGATAGATTTGAGTATCACAGAAGTAGGGTCATCGATGTAATACTACTTGGCCATGGAGCTCAGAAGCCTTTAAAAATGGTTCTGAGGAGGAATTTAGAAAGATTTAGAAATGCCAGCTGGGAAGTCAGTCCTAGATGCTGTAATCCAAGCTTGATGGGAGATTCTGGTTACAGCTCAGTGAACCACAATTCTCATAAAAATGCTGACAGTGAGGACAAAACTGAGAGGCTTTCAACTGGGAGCAAGAACTCCACTGACAGACTCAAGACGTGTTGTGTTCTGGCACAAAATTTGCCTACATTTTGCTTATGACCTGAGACTTTGCAGAGGACTGAGATTAAGGGCTACAAATTAACTAATCTGGTAGAGGCAATTTCAAGGCAACCCAGCACTGAACCTGTGGATTGGTGCTGTTGGGAGTTTTTAGCCAGCTCTACCTTGAGAATCAAGACCAACTGGCACAGATGTCTGATTTATTTAAAAGTTTTTGGTTTCAGAAGAAAAGAAACTCTTATAAAGCTGGCATAGAGAAGAGCTTGGTTGCTCAAAAATTAATATATTTTACATTAGGACAATATAAGTGATGCTTTGAAGGAATGGAAAGAATAAAAGGAAACTAGCTTCCTAGGATTTCATTCATCGTGCTCAGTCATCTAGGTACTCAGGGGCTTCTGCAAGTGTGTTTCAGGGGAGCCCAGCTACCGCTCTAGCTGGTGGCAAACCTTGGCTTCGTCATCATAGTGCTGACTTTACAGGCATGAAGAATGCAAGAGTTCTGGGTGTAATGGGGGATTCTACCCAGATTTCAAAAGCAAGGCTGAGAGGCTGCACAGTGTATCCCTGGGAAAGCAGTACATGAAGCTGTGAGACTGAACTTAAAGTGTAGTGGGAAAAGTCGGGAAAGTAGAACATTCCTGAGGAAAGCTGTAAGGAGTGAGCAAAGCCAGCCCCAGAAAAAAACCATGGCAACTACAAGCCCTGGCAATGTTGTATGGGTGGGCCTGTCCAAGCCCCTTGGAGTCCACATGGCACCACCACTTGTCCAGGGTGCTAGACATAGATTTACAGGATTTAATATTTGCTGTCAGATTTTAGTCTTGCTTTGGTCCTGGTAGTTTCTATTCCCCTATTTCTCCCTTTCAAAACATGAATGTTTCACTGAGCTGTTGTGTCAGAAATGTGTAACTTTCTTTTTATTGTTCCAGGGATTCACAGCTAAGAGTTTGCTTTAAGTTCAGAGGAGACTTTCGATTTGGACTTCTCAGCAATGTAGAAACTGTTAGGACTTTGGCAATTCTTAGAAATGGACTAAATGCATTTTGCATAAAGGAATTCACATGAGCCTTTTGGGGGCCAGGGATGGAATGTTGTGGTTTAGTTCTAAACGTCCCTCCCAAGTGTCCTGCACCCATACTTTTGTAAGGATCATGGGGCATTATACTCATTGGTGGATTAGTCCATTGGTGAGTTTATAGATAAATGGACTGTTAGGAGGTGGAGTTGGGTCAAAAAAGGCAGGTCACTCAGGGCATGGCCTGGAAGGGTACATCTCCTCCAGCTCCTCCCTTGGAGCTCAGCTTCCCGGCCCCCATGAGGTGAACAGTTTTCCTCTGCTAGACCTTTCCACTATGCCTTCTTGGAGCTAGCTAAGGACTAAAAATGTCATCTAGAACAAATCTCTCCTTCGTTAGGTTGTGGGTTTCTGCTGGATATTATGTCTCATCAACAAGAATGTGACAAAGATAATCAGTTATGTGAAGAATTCCTTGCAGACAATGGACCAGTGGGCCACTCAAAATCTTTAACAGAACATAAAGTTTCTTCAGGAAAATAGTTTAAATAGTTTGTTACAGTTTTCCATCTTATTTCACTTCTCTAGCATTTAATGTCTGACAGTCCTTTTTTATAATTCAAAATTTTTGTAAGTGCTGTCTAGTTTGTCAAGAATGTATTTTTTGATGGCTGTTTAGTTTTTAAAGATAGAATTTGCCCCTTTGCTTTGTTTTAAGTATGCATGGAATGTTATGATAGGACACAGCAGGACTGGCCATCAGACAGAGAGATGATGGAGAGACCAAAATATGTATGTGAAATGAACTTGGCATTTTAATACAGTAAAAAAATAGGTAAAATGCTTTTAATTATATATGCAGAAAAGACATATAGAAAACAAAGTAATGTGTATGCATTGAAAGACTTGCTACTCCTTATGAAATTGAAACCATCCTATTCTGCATTATGTGGTTTATGAATAAAGCAAATGGTTTTTCCCACTGGGATGGTCACAGAGCACTTTATGCTCAAGTTCACGGTGATCACATCAGTACTGCCTATTCGTCTTCTCATGCTCCCGCTCCTAGTGAGTGACCGTCCTGTGTCTCCATGCAGCTCAAGGGCTACCGCAGCAGTCCTTAACTGCCCTTGTGTACCCCACTCAGACACATTCTCTAAGCAGTTGCTAAAGAGATCTTTCCTCATACAGTTCTGATCATATCTCCACCTAGCTCCTTACCACGCTATGGCTGCCACTGACATCACTGTTTTTAGCATGATGTAACAATAGGCAGCCTTCAGTGCTGAGCAGCAAATCTGCTCTTTTACCCTTGTCCCCTCCTTGTCACTCTGCACGTGAGGTGTTCGAAATTCGTGACACACCCACAGCCCTCCAAGCCTTGGCCTGCGCCGCTGCTTGCATCTTCAGCTTCCACTCTGATCCCTTCACCTGGCTCACACCGGTGTTTTCATAACCAGATTCAGTAGCAAAGTCTCTGGGCAGTGCTCAACAACAAGAGAGAGCCACAATTATGAAATTTCAAACTTTTCAGCAAACATATTTTTAAAAGTAGGATGAAACTGATTAAATTAATATTTTATTTAGCTAATATGTACTAAATATTTCCACATTTGGGGCTGGGGAGATGGCTCAGTGGAATAAGCGCTTCCCTGGCAAGCACAAGGGCCTGAGTTCAATCCCCGGTTCCACCAAAAAAAATAAAATAAAATAAAAATAAATAAATATTTCCACATTAAAGTATTGATAGATCTGTATACTGAATACTAATTCAGCATGTGACCTATGTTTTTAAAATATTGAGATGCTTTATATTTTTCTCCCACCAAGTCTTCAACATCCAGTGTTTATTTTACTCCTATGACACATCTCAATTTGGAGTGACTACACTTTAGCCACACAATAGCCACATGGCAAAGCTATACCATATTGAAAGTAACAGAACTAAAGCTCTTATATGTAGTATAGCCCTTGCTTGGCATGCACAAAGCCCTTTGATCCATCTCCAACCTTAAAAAAAAAATCACCTACAGCTGGGGAGATAGCTCAGTGGCATAAGTGCCAGCCTTGCAAGCACAAGGTCCTAAATTCAATCCCTGGTACTGCAATAAAAGAAAGAAGGAAGAAAGAAGAAAGAAAGAAAGAAAGAAAGAAAGAAAGAAAGAAAGAAAGAAAGAAAGAAAGAAAGAAAGAAAGAAAGAACCTAAGGATCTATGAAAAGAGAATCCTGTGCCAGACTTCCTGACATTCTGCTTCTAGAGATAGTCTAATTCTACTGGTGTAGAGTGGAGACATTTTCAGAGGAATCCTTGATCAAAGGCCAGCCAAATAGCTCAATGGATTAAAGCACCTGCAAGCAGGTGCAGGGGCCGGGGGTTCGATCCCCGGGCGTGCTGTGCCATCCCCACCCCCAAGGTGCACTGATAAGGCAATTGAGACTGGGCATGGTGGTGCATGCCTGTAATCCCAGCTCTAGGGAGGCTGTAAACAGGCGGATCACTATGAGTAGGATCTAGTAGTGAGACCCTGAACACCCTGTAGACCCTTCCCTAAAGTACAAAAAAAAAAAAAAGAATCCTTGATTATTCCAATGTTCATGCTCCTCCAACTGCACCTTAGAAAATGTGAGCTAGGGCCAGGGAGACAGCTCAGTGGCATAAGCACCTGTCTGGCAAGCATAAAGTCCTAAGTTCAATCCTCAATACCAAAAAAAGAAAAAAAATGCAGGCTAATAGTTTATATCCTGATTTTAGAGTTAAATCTACAGGCATTTGTGCCCAGATGTGACCATTTAAGAGCTATGAAAATAGTAGTGTTATCTTCATGGGTCTTGGGCTGCTCACCTGCAAAGTGAGACTCGTAGTATGTACCTCAGAGACTATGAGTATGGAATGGTATGTACCAAAGCATGGCACCTCTTGGGGTCTGACTGCTCCCCACCCGCAGCATCCCCACTTCCCCAGTGAGGTATCCCCCCCACCCCACTTCCTGTACTTCTCTCCAGATGGCCCCTCACAGTCTGTTGTCATCATCTGCTGCCTTGCCAGGGCCCTCACCTCCATCAAGGCCAGAACCTAGCTACTGTGTCTTTCCACATCCCTATGCCTCACTAACTGGTGCTCAAAACACATCACTTTTTAGAAATAGAACTAAAGTTTATCAACCAGATTTCCTCTAGGAGTAAAATTCCCTCACATTTTTTTACAGAAAAGAAGCATGCAGAGACAAAGTGGAGAGTGACACCATTCTAACCTTTTCCCTTTTAAGTCTGTCACAGAAAGCTTTGCCAACATCATCCATGGCTTGAAAGTGGGACACCTAACAGATCGCGTCATTCAGAGGAGCAAGAGGATGATTTTGGATACTCTGGGTGTTGGGTTTCTTGGAACCAGAACAGAAGTGTTTCACAAAGTC